TTTTTGTTTCGGTCATCCGCTCTTCTTTCCCTTGAATGAGGAACATTTCTTCATTCCCACACGTGAGGAGCCATTTTCTATTTCATTTTAGAGTGAAGGGCTTGTGACCAAGTCCGCCTTTGAGAGTTTGACAAGTTCTTTTGTCTACAAGTGCCTACATTTGGATTATCTTTTCTTCCAATGACTCTTTCATTAAACCATCTGAGTTTTCCCTAAATAACGGTTAGATTCACCGCCCTTGCTAAGCTTGTACTCGGTGCCATGCGTACAAAAAGAAAAACAAGATATTGCATGATTTGATTCCCAATTATTATCGTACTAGAATTATTCAAAGCAATTGTTAAAGGTCTAACCTATTGTTGCGAGTTCAACTCGAGTAGTTAGAGTTTAGGCTGCACAGTCAGATTGATTCTATTAGTGCAGTTTTAAAATTTTAAAAATTAAATTAACTAAAATTTCTTAAAAAAATAATCAAAATCAACCGAATTATTGTAAAACAATTAAACATACTGAAATCGAATTATATCAATTGATTTGGCGGATTATTCTGATTTAAATTGAAATATGATCACTACAAGTGTTAAAATATCTTTTCTAATTAATTAAATTAAGATTAATTATCCCACTGATTTGGTGTATTGCCTTCACTCTTTCATTTTAATATGTATGCACGTTCGTCCATTCACTCTTCACTTTACAAACAGTAAATTAATTAATGTTCTACCCTAATAAATAAAGGGGATAGACAGTTCAGTACTGTTGGGATTCTCTTTTTAGTTAATTAATAAAGACTAAAGGGGGTTTAATTGACTGAATCTTCCTCAAGTCAATGCGTGCATGGTTTCCTCTTTCGAAGTCTTCTCTGGTTTTTACCCATTCATTTTGCTCCCTTTTTCTTTCAACAGTAAGTTTCATATCTATGTAGGCAATGTATGAGAAAGTAATGAATAAAAAAAATAATAGAAGGGATCGAGCAGAACTCATTTACTGTAAGAAATATTCATTTCTGTTTTCTTGTAAGATTATTTCCAAGGTTGAGAAGAGATAACTGTAAACCAATATGCATTCCCAAAGTCCAATATGCTTTTCTTTTGGGTATATCTATAAAAGAAATTCAAGGGGATGGAGATCAGGAGATTAAAATCCAATATGATGTTTGTCTAATTATAATTGATTTGAGTAACTTTCTTTCCTCTTTTTTTCTTGGATAAAATAGTGTTAGTTTTTTTTTTTGAAAAAAAATAATTAGTTTATTATTACGTATTTGACTCAATCCTCACTTAATCAGGTTCGAATTTTCATTTAGGATGTGTTCCCTTTGACCCAATTTGTGTTAGATTCTTGCTTAGCTCTACCATGCAAAGAACACAAATTGAGCAAAGATGTTTTTCCTTGCCTATTGAAAGAGTGAAACAACAACAGCCTAGTAAAAAAACAAGTAGAATCCTTGTTAGTTAATTGTCTGAACTCACAGTTTAATTTACAACTTTTAGTACTCCCCCGAGCAAAAGGTCAACTTATAGCCCTAAAATCTCTTGCTTCAAAGGGACAAAAGAGTTGCAAGTTGCTTAGTCTAATTAAATAGACTGGACTAGGTTTGATCAGACAAATTATAAATTGAGTTTTAGTTTCCCTGGTTCGAAGAGAGAGAGGGAGAAAGAAGCATCAATCATGTGATTATGCAAGTAAATATTTGAAGCACATGGTTCTAATGTCGTGACGATGTTGGCTTTCTTCTGAAATATCGCTTTCTTTGTGATTACAAGCAATATCATCATTAACGTAGTATTCTCACGACCACTTTAATATATATATATATATATATTTGTAGAAATTTTTTAAAGAAATTGTAGAATATGATGGAGGAAAAAAAAGCATAAATGCCACTTTTTGTTCATGATGTGCATATTGAGGCATATATATAGAAAAATTAAGGATAATGAACAAAATTGCTTCCAGCATTTCTCCCTTTGGCTTTTGGTGAGATTATTGAAGTAACTAAATGTAAACACTTCATTAGCTAAGCTTGGTGTTGATAGATGAAAAATGTTCTATACTTTGTGATAGTGTGAAGTAATTCGGATGAATTTTTTATGAACTTCGGTTGTTTCAATTTCTTATTTTTGAATGAATTTTTTATTTTACGGTTTGTGTTTCCTAATGTATGTTTATCTCAATTATATCGAAATATAAGTAATTGTATCATTTTTCTGATATTAATAAAATTGTCTCATTTCGATGAAAAAAGAAAAAGTAAACACTTTTTAAATTCCTTCTCAATTCTGACACATGTAAAAATAAATCAAACCAGCTATTACATTTTTACTAATTTTCCTGCCACCACGATTAATTTCTATCCAAATATACCATATCAAATAAACCTTTAGCAAACTTTGTGTGTGATGTTGCTTGAATCAATTGGAAAATCCAAAGAAGATATGTAACCTTGGCTAGTGAAAACTAGAATAAAGAATCCACCGTCAATTGTATCATAGCGGAACAAGGCGTTTGCATTCTTTTTTATTCCATGGGAATTTTGTACAAAAGTAAAATATTTGCTTCATTAAATACTTAACGACTGTTAGCATGTGAGGCTTAATTTTCTATGTTGTAATTAAAACAATTAAAAAAAATTATTCTTGTTCGTGTTCTTGCATTTTGGTAATTGTAAGGCTAGCCCCGAGAACTATATATATGGTAGTCTAGGCTCCGAAAGTGTCAAATTAAGGTAGATCTTGAGAGCCTCTTCCTCTTCGAAGAAATCTTAGCCATTAGCATCTCACAGCAATGTCCACTAGTGGTCAAGGTATTCCAGACACATTTCCTCCGAGGACGCCGATATCGACACAACCCCCAGGTTCAGGAGGAAGTAGCACAAGTAATACTGGTGTTAGAGATGCTATGCCGCCTAGAAGATGCTATGCTGACCATAGAAGATGCATGGTGCTGCATCATGTCAAACCGAGGTAAGTAAAAAGGACGTTTGATAAAGAGTAATGCTATTTTGTCCGATTTTAGATTATCCAGGTATTTATAAATAACAAGAACATGATAAATAATAATTTTTTTGTGAATAATTAGAAGGTTATCTTATTATTCAGAAATGACATGAATACGATAACTAATACTTTCAAGTATTTATATTTTATAAATAGTTGGATGGCCATATAATCGGACACTTTGCATTTCTCTGCAATAATAAGACCATGCAGTTTGAAGTCCAAATTTGCTTAATTGTTACTGTATGTAGCACAATTGATGTGTAAAATATGTAATATATTTCCGAAATAATGTCATAAGAAGTCATGTACTCACGTATATATGTCCTGTAAGAAGTCAAGTGTATGTATTGCTGTGTGAAAAAAATGAAGTCATTTGTACAGTCATGTGTAGAATACTTCGTCGGAACTAAAGATGTATTATTGAAGTTATTAATTTTAAGAATTTGCATGGTCCAATTGTGAAGTCAAAATTCCAAAAAAAAAAATCAATTTGTATAGCTAAATTACTTTGAGAGAGAACTCTCTTTCTCTCTCTGTCTCTCTCTCTCTCTCTCTCTATATATATATATAAGATAAATGAAAAAAAAAAAAAACCAAAGTCTATCCTTGCAATAACAACAAGAACTACACTCTTTTTTTGGAAAGGCATAAATTCTATAAATGGATCGACAGTGGTACATTAGACACAAGAGATGGATATATCCCCGCCATGATAGAATTTCCATCTCTAGCATCACAAGTAATAGAACCAGTCCATAACAGAAAGGCCATCATAATCACCCAGCTTTCACTATTAGAGACAGCAAACAAAAGCAGAATCACATTTCTCATCAAGTAAATACGAAAGATAGCAAGCTGGAGTGTGAGGAAAGTGCCAAGACAGGTATAGGTAGGCAAAGTGAGCTGAGGTGGTTTATTAGGGAAGATGTAAACATTGATAGCGAAGGTGGTGATTAGTTTCAATGGATGCTAACCTTCGTGAAGCACTCCCTTATCTGCACATTTTCTATTTTTGTTTCCTCTGCAGGTTTTTTTATCCTCGAGAGAAAGCCATCTAGGCCACTTCTATTATATATGGGATCATTATTCGGTTGTCACATGATGAAAAAATAAAATCAATTAGTACAAATAAAAAAAATTGTTAAAATATTGTTTTCAAATAATTTTTTATTTTGATTATTTAGGACAATGACAACGTTGTAAAGGGTATAATCATAGAGAAAACAAGGGGAGGTTTTCAAAACCAAGAATTAAGTGATATATGCAGTCAAACCAGCTCTTTTATAAAATAAATTGGTGTTTATTTCAATGATTTGATTTCTAGCTACAAGATTTACGATAGATTTAGAATTGGAAAGGAAAATTGTAGATGTGCACATTATAGACAACTCATAATATCATTTAGATTTAGAATCCATATATTTAAGTTTTGGAATTTAAATTGCATCAAGATAGTTTGTAAAATTATTATTTTCTTATTTATTAATAATAAAACACCACATCATTAAATATATATATTATTTTACATTTTAAAATAAGTTGCAACACACCCAATCTAATCACTCTTATTCTTTGGAAATCCCTTTCAATCTCTTTCACTTTATGTTTTTAAAAAAGAAAAATAATATCAATAGAAGAAATATACACTATATTCAATAAAAGATATAAATCAAGTTACACCGAAGAGAATGTCGCTCTTGTAATATCTCTTGTGTATCCTTAGTATCTTGATGCCTTATGATTTGCCTTCTTGGATAGCTTTTGTAAAACTCTCTATATAATGAAATTATATTGTTAATTTTTAAAAAACAAAGGGTCACTTTTAAACTGACTCATTAGCAAACTAAATAGAGATTCTTCGACAAAATGTTTTTTTCACTAAAAATAGTAATCAAAATATTTATTATTAAAAAAAAGATAGGAAGAGCGAAATTAATTTATGCAAGTTAAAGGTCTTAGATCATTTGCTAATTTTTAATTAAAGGGAGAGATTTTAATTAACTCCTTGCATAAATGATACATGTACATAGGCACACCTCAAAAGTTTTCGATAAAATATTCCTATATTTACATACAATATTCAAACCCACTTGACTAGTGATATGTATTACACTTCTTCAAAATGGACAGCTCAGATTGAAATTTCCCTTCTCTATTCTCCAATTTAAAACACCTTCCTTCAAAAAGCTTGTCATGCTTACGACCACAAAACAGAGACCTTGAGCCGTATGTTGAGTTCCATAAATCAACAGAAAGAGGAAAATTCAACGAAGCTAATAACACAACCGGGACGCAAACGAAAATGGAAATGAGGGTAGGGATCCATATTGCTCCATGCTGGTAAGTCAAGAAAGCAGATGCGACAAAAGCTGCCATCATCATCCCTATGGAGACGAAGAGTGTCCCCAATCCAAGCAACAACATACATGGTAATCGCTTAACGAAGTCATCTTCTTCGAAAGGCGAAGTGAGGATTGATAAAAACATTAAGACTGACGAAGCGGAGGAGAACAATGCCATTGCATCAGATATGATGAAGATTTTAAATGGAATCTTCTGCAGGATGATAGGATTTGCTGCATCGTTCTGCAAACTTCCTGGTAGGGTGAGTATTGCAACGAACACTACAATGAATAGTAATGTTGCAACCATTAGCATTGAGTGTGAAGTTCTTCTCATCCAATCTTCTCCCCTTCTTTTTAAATCTTCATGCTCCTTAACGAATATATCCCAGGGTGTAAATCCTTCAGCATTTCTCATTTCTTTACACAAAGGTTGCACAACCTTTTCCACCTCCTGTGAAAAACATAGAGTATGCATATTAAATCTAATTGAATTGATATCGTATTGGAGAAAAAAATTGGATGAAAATGTTGGCTTAGCTTGTAATACCTATACAAAATCAATTTCTCCTGAACGACAAAGATTTTTACCAGAAGGTTATAGAGTCTATACTAACAATTCCATTAATAAAAATTTTGGAAGGCCTAAAAAGGTAAGGATTATAGAAATTGGCGAGAAAGTACCTTAAACCATAATAATTCTCGTTGCATTTGAAGAGCAGCACCTGATACATGATTGAGTCGATCTTGAAGGGGTAACTTGGCAACTAAGTGCAACATGTTGTTTTTGTTTTCATCTTCATATGTTGCAATCAAATCTTTAATGGAACCTATGCCATAGATTAAACTGAAGATACTCTCATGACGATATAAAATTGCAACGTGAAATATGCTGCGATTATCTTTGTTTACCCTCCATATCAGGTCAGGATAAGAGTTGATAAGCTGAATTAGAAATTCGACATTTCCTGCTTCTGCTGCGTCTAGTGTTAAGATTGAAGGATGCTCGATTAAGCACCACATCATCTCATGCTCTAACTGTAGTACCTTTTTCCAAACGCTATCCACAAGTCGAAGGGCCTGACTTAGCTTCGTGCTATGGTGATCAAATCCTGTGATATTCATGGATAAAGATTACAACTTTTCAATTTAATTGAAGAATTTTTCTTTTTGATAAAATTAAAATGTTATTAAATATGTGTGAATGATATGATAATTTGATTAATAAAGAATTTTATATTGAAATTTACAGCCACACGCTAGAAGAATAAACAAACCGTAACAACACCAAATAGAATAAAGAAATTACGATCTCCCTATAATGATTAAATATTACCACCATGCAAAAAAAAAAAAATTAAATTGATCCATCCCAGATTTAATTAAAGAATCGATAGTTTTAACTTCACGAAATGCATGCAGAAATATAAAAATTTAATAAGATTACAGTTCAGAGTGGTATATATTGAGAAAAAGAAAAAGACAACGTAACATGGTTCACGAGCATTTCATCAGGATTTTTTTAGAAACCAAACCTGAAAATTTGACGATTATTCTCCTCCACATCCCAACTGGGGCTTTGTCGACCAACAACGAAGGTTTTTGAGCAAGCACGTGCAGAGCTGTCTCATTAAATGAGCCCCGAGTCGTAGCTAGTTGAGGGTACTTTTCTTGCATATTAAAGGCCACGTCTGCAGGATTGATAAAGAATTAAATGTTTTGTTTTCTGCCTCAATCAAACTATATTTTTTTTAATCAATATAAGACATTGACACAAGTTCAATGATCACGAGTAAAAATCAATCATGGAATCACTAAATCAGAAAATTAATTTTTTATTAATATCAAAAAATTGATGATTATTAGATATGACTACATCAGTACTAGTCCATGAAAGACAGTGCACTTAGATGAGATCACATAGAAGAGTGCAGGGATGGGAACAAAGAAAGGCAGGGCGTCAGGTCAAGCCACCGAACACAGCCAGAGGAGGGCAGACACCTTATTTTTCCCAAAAATCGTCTCCTATTTCAATCATAACCCTCCTGTATGGGCGCAAGAGGTGCAATAGGGTGTGAAACAGAGGTATCTGGGGAGAGTCAGTGACACAAAGTCATTTTCTTGATCTTTTTCTACGAGTTTTTAGGCTATTTTTTCCTAGTGAATGTTGTAATGTTTGTTAGAGTAGGATAATAAACTCAATTCGACATTTGGCGTAATTTCACATACTATTACTCTGCGAAACTATGCTTTTAAAAAAATTTACCATAAATTTGTCTTACCGTAGAGACCATTTCTAATACAAATAATGAATATCCCATGCCGTTCTGGATCAGTCAAAACGTCATCGGTGCATTGGTAGAGATGCTGAACCATTTGTCTATGTCCTAACAGAGCAGCTAAATGGAGAGGAGTCACCCCTGCTTTATTTCGGATCTTTGGTAAGCTTGTTTCCAGCTTGATCATAACTAAGGCCAGTGGCACGATTCCGGATATAGCAGCGAAACAAAGAGCAGTGTTTCCATCTTTGTTTTCGAGTTTCAAGTCGACAGGCTGCATCCACTCAGTTACCAATTTCTTCACCAAAGCAATTTGTTTCGCCGCGGTCGCAACGTGAAGAACAGTCTCCATTCCTTCCGTTATACTCTGTCGCACCGCCCATGGATATGTGGAAACAATGGATCTAGCCGTTTCGATGTCTCCGTTCATTGCAGCTCGATAAAGAGGTATGCCATATCTGCTGTAATCTTTTCTCCCTTTCTCTGAAATATTATTCCACAATCACAAACATAAAAATTCGGTAAGGTTACAAAAATATCTTTGTGAAATTGATGTGATAATAAATTCAATACATTTATTTTTTTAATATAATGTTGGTAATTTTCATAAATATGGTCTAATTTAATGGAGGTTTTTTTTTAGTAAAAGAATTTTATTAAATAAGCGAACAATCAAAGAATTTTAGCAATAAAACTCTATTATGCTGTTAGATTTGTCTATTTGTTTCTATTAAGAAGAAAGACTTGTCAATTTTGAACCCAGCAATACAAAACATAAATTTATATATGCTTACTGGTAAACAGATATGGATCTGGCAAGCAAGAATCAGTCTGAGCTGAAGTTGACCTCTCAGCATAATTTCCATCCTGAACTTCAATGATTGATGGCGAATTGATATCCATATCAACCCCAACTTCCAGCGGCTTAGTGGCCATTGAATTATTCTGTTAATCAGGGTCAGTTCCTTTATGCTGGAAATCCCTCTGCAACAATGAATGGCTGCCCATTTGTCATCACAGGGTTTTAACTAGCCTTACCGGTAACATTGATGACTACATGTGCATTGATCGACAAGTAAAACGAAAGAGAAATTTTCGAATGAAAAACAAAAGGAACGTGGCCCATGCATATAGATAGAAAATGAAGACTGCTGTACCTAGTTGAAAGGAATTAGTCGATTAACTTCGAGAAGCAATGGTTTCTGAGTAGAATATATAGCTAAAGTCCTGGGGAGTACTATGAAGAATGCGAAAGCTCAACAGATTAACTATTTTTCGGACTCGCTGTGGAGCTAATGCGAATCGAGAGGAAAACCAGAAAATGAAGAAGAAAGTGTATATCTTCATGTATTGAAAAGAGTGATTACAACAGTGCTTTATATTCAGAACCCCTGACCATTAGGAAATCAGCTAAAGCAACTAAACATTTACTGAACCAAGTAAAAAGTAACTAAGGTAAAATTAATAAACAATAAAAATAAAAACCTACATCTGCTATAAATAAAACACGTTTTAAGTAAAATCCTGCAATTGCTAACTTTATTCTTCAGCCTTCATCTTCAGTCCTGTTCAAGCTGTAACCAACATCAACAGCTTTTCTTTTATCTTGTCTGCATATGCTTGTATGCGGAATAACTACGACAAGAGAGTGATGTCAGACCACTTAAAATCTAAACATAGAATTCCATTCACAGATCGAATCGACTAGGAGATGAGCATTCATGGAAATGGAGCATTTTAGCTTTTTTTTTTGCTTTTTGTCGGAGGGTAGTTGATGAAGTTCAATTTCATGCTTATATCATTTCTCAACAATAATGTAATCTAATATGATAAAATATATAAGATTGTTAAGCATTGACCCGAAAACAGTAACATGATGAGGACAGTGACAGGGACATTACTAAGCAAATGAACATGGCCGGAAGAACCTCCATCACGTGCATAGATTCCTCTTGAATAATAGAAGAACAATAAGAAAACCAGAAGCGATGCAGATCAGGTTGGAATGAATTTTTAAGAGTGGCCGTTGGGATCATCAGAACTCAGACGTCGACATGAAAGTCGATCATGCTTAGCTTAATGCCGGTTCCTCAGATGATCATTCTCCCTTAATTGGTTTGAATTTCTTCATTTTTTTATGTGGTAATCTGATGTTCGATACTTTGAGAGTATGGCCAGTTTCCCATCATATTTTGTATCGTAATTCGTTTTTTAATATATCTATTTAGCTTTTTAATAAAGTTTATTGAAGTAAACGCTCTATCACCGCTAATTAAGAAGCTCTCAAGTAAACTCCCATAAAGTCAGGACGTGAAACGGTACTAAATAATTAATGGGCTATCCTATTAGCATTATTGGATTTTTTTTATTATTAAAACAATCAAAAGGATATTAAACTAGAGCAGAAGCTAGACAAAACCTGCAATATCAAAAACACTATTGCATCTTCTAGGAAGGAAGACGGTCTAAACTGTGGAAAGAGCCACTAAAGGTGTGTGCTCTCTGATTAGTGAAAGTAGCAATTGTGCTGAGGTTGTTGTATAATGTGGTCTGTGTAAAGTGATGGCTGGGCGGGATGGTCTTTATCTGATTTTGTTACAGGTCCTGTGGGGTGTTTTTGGTCTTGTGTATAGATCTCCTTTGTGTGAAAACAACAATAATTATTCAAAGGTCTAGTTAACAAATTAATACCTTGTTGAGGAGAGCATCGGATGCCATTTACCTCTATTATTGATATGCCAGTAAGAGTAGTATAATAAGTTTTATTTAAAATTTGTGTTACCTCCTCGAGCAGATACAATACTTTTATATTTCTTTCACTGTTTTGACTATAGATAAGCCGATAAGCCATATTTTCTTGCACATGAACCCTTTAAAAGTCATTTTCCATTTAATGCTATCTTTTGAGTAATCAAAAGTGGAAGCATGTCTTGAACAACGAGTTCTATCTCTAATCATATTGAAAGTTACAAAAAAAAAACATTATTTTTATTTATCTTTCAATCATATTTGTAAAGGGACAAACTCACTTGATTAACTTTTTGTAATATTTTTCATTGCCAATGACTTTTTGTATCATTTTTTTGTAAGTGTATAATTTTCAACCACTCGAACTATGATTTTTTTGCTCAATTGTTCGGACTATGATAATGCGCCATGAAATGTCTATTGCAACAAATAAGAAATTTGGAATGAGATATAAATTGCTGAAGCTAATAAAATCATCATTTAAAAAAAACTTTTTATAATGTTAAGATTTTATGAGTCTATTTGAAATTTGCTTTATCTCCTTCCATTAAAATAAAAATAAAGCCATGTTATCTCCCGTACAATCCGGTCTACGATAACTGAAGGGTGGATTCATGCCCCAATTATGCGTGCATGCATGCATATAGGACAAAGAAGTGTGTGTTGAAAAAAACTTAAACATGTTTTGGGTTTTGTCGTTCACAATTGAACATGATTCGAGGAAACAATTAATAGACCGTTAAATTATAGTAAGATAAGAATAATCTTGAATATAAACCAATGCCTTTGCTTTGTAGCTATCCACTAAAGTCAATTGAGGATGAGATCGTCCCCTAATTTGAGCTCTAGTTTAGAGATATAAAATTAATTATAGATATAAAATGGGAAAGCTTCAATGAATCAATCAATTATAGATATAAAATTAATTATTACTTACTTTGTCATATGAGTGATTGAATGCATGCTTTGGCATTCTTGCTACTAATTAATTTCAAGAAGAAACTATACAGTATTTCCATTGACATTAGGTTATAACTGAAAAGATAATAATAAATGAATATGATTTAATCTCATAAATTCATTTGTGAAGTTTAAAATTTTCAATGTTTCCTTAGTGTATAAATTAATAATCATCTAAGAAGAAATAGATCTCGAGGACGTAGTCAGAGAAGAGGGCAGAGGAGGACCATGTAATCAACCAAATGCTTATCCTTAATTTCAGCCTCGAGTCCTGAGACACGCTTGGCCCAATCAACAATGGACAACGCCCTTTTTCAAGCCTGCAATAGCTAACCATATGTACAAAGACTTTGGCTTATTGAACCAAGGCTTTCTGTGTAGTGAAAATCAAAATCTCCCAACATTTTCGTGGACACTTGAAGCTTAAAACAAATAAGATTTAATCGGTAATCTCAGCATTCAGTAATGAGAAGTCAAAAGCAAATTAACACCTCACCCCAAGGAGTTGAAGAGACAGAACAAGAATGTATTGACACAAAAAAGTAGAAGCAATGGAAGGAAGAAGAAGAGCTAGCATTTCTAAAAGGAAGTGGTGAGATATTAGAAAGAGAAAAAGTTTGATTCTACAACTAATAAGTATTCTTTTTTTGGATTAATGAGGTTTGGAGAGAGCCCTGATTTTTCCCAAGTTCAATTAAGAAACAAAACACACAAGTTCCACAAAAATGTACAAGGAAGAGAAAGCTGCCAACAGAGTAAAGGTCATTATGGGTTCACACAAAGAGCAAATGCAGAAACTATGTCACGGTGTTTGGGGCCAAAAGGTTGAGCCTGATGATGAAGAAGGTAATAAGTTCAAGGATACGGATGAGAGGGTTATCACTTGGTAGACTTGCTTCAATGGACTGTTGAGCTATCATAGCAGCGCGTTGGAAATGAATTAGATATTCTAAGACAAGCACATGAGTTGGTTGAAGAGGAAAATCTGCAAGAATGGGATCAACAATGGAAGGAATTGTGGCTTCAATGAACATTAATTACTTTGTCAAATGAGTGACTGATGGCATGCTCTTGCATTCTTGCTATTGATCAGGAGAAGTAACAATATATCATTCTCTTTTTCTGGCCTTTAGATTTGGATTATCAATGGTTGAATTTTATTTCTTTCTTTAGTTCTTTTTTGTACTTGGAATTAGAGAAGAGAAAGAACCTTTTTTTTTTTTATGAAACTTCTTGGATACTATCATTCAGTGGATAAAGATAAGCCTAAAGCAACCCACACAAGGACACAACTGAGGGAAAGTTGCAGCAGAAAATTTGAGAAAATATACCAAATATTCTTCATTTCAAACATATGAAAAACCAGATAAGTTTATATATTTACAAAACTAAGAATTAAGACTAAAGCTGAAATTTATATTATTTATAGCCCTGAGTCCTGACATGCACATAGCCCAAGGGGCAAGGTCCTTCAACCCTGCGAAAGAAAACCATATATACAAGGACTTCAGATTTATTGAATTGAGACCTTTTTATAGAAATCCTTTGCTTTGCATTCATCCACAGCTTTCCGAGGAGACCATCGAACGCAGAAGCTTGGCTGTTCAAGGAGAAGTGATGTGATAGGGCTGCTTGAAAAGCTTATTCCGAGGATGAAACAGGGACCTTGAATCGTAAGTTGAATTCCATACATCAATAAAAAGAGGTAAGTTCAGGGAAGCAAACAAAGAAATTGGCACAGAGCCTAAAGTGGCGATGGCTGCAGGGACCCAGAGATGTCCATGGTAATAAATTATGAACACGGTGGCACTGAAAGCTACTATTACGCTACCGATGGACATGAAGAAGGTTGCCAGCCCAATCATCAACATGAATGGTAATCGCTTGATGAAGTCATGCTCCTTGTAACGTGAAGTGAGGATGGATAAGAACATCAGGATTGAAGCCAAAGCCGAGAACAGCGCCATTGCGTCTGATGTGACAAACACCAGGAAGGACATTCTCCGCAGGAAGTTAGGTTCCCCTGAATTATCTTTTGAACCACCTGGGACAGTAAAGATGCTGGCGAACGTTACAGTGGCAATTAGTGTTGGGACCATCAGCGATGATTCAGCCGTTTTTTTCATCCATTCTTCCCCTTCTTTCATCAAACCTTTGTGTTGCTCCATGAACAATTCCCAGGGTGTAAAGTTTTCATTATTTCTCTGTTCTCTACAGGAAGGCTGCACCAAACTTTCCACCTCCTGGTACAGTGAATACAGATTAGATTCTATAACATATTGCCTAACAAGTTTTGATTAATTAGAATCTATAACAGTACTCTTGATGAAATTGATTTGATTCAGAACCTGAAAAGATCATGAAAAGCAAAAGTAAAAATGGAAAGAGAAAGATCAGAGAGAAAACCTGAAACCACAAGAGCTCTCTCTGCATTTGAAGAGCCGCTCCTGATACAATCTTGAGTCGATCTTGAGGCGGTAACCGTGCCGCTAAGTGCAGCATGTTGTTTTTGTTGTCATCTTCATAAGTTGCTATCAAATCCTTGATTGAACCTATCTCGTGGATCAGACTGAAAATACTCTCATGACGATATAAAATGGCGTGATGAAATATACTCTGGTTTTGACTATTTACTCTCCAAATCAGGTCCGGATAAAGGTTGATAAGCTGAACTAAAAACTCTACGTTTCCTGACTGCGCTGCATCCAGCATTAGTACTGTAGGATGCTCAACAAGAGACCACATCTGCTCATGATTTTGCTGCAATACTTTTTCCCAGAGGCTCTTGACAAGCTGAAGAGCCTGATCAAGCTTCAAACTATCATGATCCATCCCTGTAACATTGCATTCAAATTGGATAGCCAATTCGGTTAACAACCTATTGGCTTTTGGGTTAAGAGAAAAGAGATGAGGAATATATTGTTGGTAATTAGAAACCTGACCTGAAAATACCCCAAAAAAAGAAAGAGAGAAAACTGACCTGAACGACTGATTATTCTGCTATATATTCCTAGTCGATTTTCATTTACAGAAAACAATAAAGGCTTTTGAGCAAGCACGTGCAAAGCTGTCTCCTGATTTGAACCTCGTTTTGTAGCTAGTTTTGGTTCCTTGTTTTGCAGGTCAAAGGCTACATCTGTTAATTCATGTGACGCCAAATTATGGAAAACACCATCAAATGAAGCACCAAATCGGAGCAATTGGAGCGGAGGATTTCTGTTCCTACTCACCGTATAGACCAGTTCTAATGCATATAATAAATATTCCATGTCGTTCTGCATCGGTCAAATCAGCATCAGTGTGTTCATAGAGATACTTCACCATGTCTCTGTGTCCTAACAAAGCAGCTAAATGAAGCGGAGTCACTCTTGCATTATTTCGAATTTTGGGCAAGCCTTGATCCTCATTAACCATAAGCTCCGCAAGTGGAACTATTCCAGATATCGCAGCGTAAGAAAGAGCAGTGTTTCCATCTGTGTTCCTAAGACGCAGTGCGACTTGCAAGCCTTGAGCATTTATCCATTCCACCAATTTCTCTACCAACTGAACTTGTTTTCCTAATGCAGCAATGTGAAGAACAGTTTCCCTTCCTTCTGTTATACTCTGCCGCAACGCCTGTTTGTTTTGTCCTATAATTCGACCGACTTCGTCAACAGCGCCCTTCATCGCAGCTTGATAAAGGGGCACACCATACGTTATATAGCTTATTCTTCCTTCATCTGAATAATTCAAGAAACGATATTTTAGCATAAGTCATGATCGATGAACAAGTAAAACAGTAGTGGATGACGCATGGCTTTGACCAAACTTACTTGTAAACAAATACAGATCTGGCACAAGCCCATCTAATTGATCTAAAGTTGAATTTCCAACCTCAACTCCATTACCCGCTCCTGGAGAGTTTGATGGTGAACTAGTGGCATTGACATCAATCCTGACATCAGATATTCTGGCTGCCATTGAGCAAATTCTAATAAAACAAAGCTAAGGTTTCTTCGAATGTATGTCTGCTGCTACAACAACAACTATACTAGTATATATAAATTTACAAAGTTGGGCTAGCGCCAAAGGATATGATGATGAACAGAAAACTTGCGACCAAGGAAACCAAGGTCATCTGTGTGGAACTTCCATGAAGCTTGCCAAAGTATGGCGGAAAGGCAAGAATGATTTTATATATATAGTTTTTATCGAACATTTAGTTCATTAGTTGATGTATGATTTTCTACTTAAATAATAAGATTCGAATCTCTCTTTTTTAATTTTTAAAAAAAAGTTTCGTCTAGAAGAGAAGTTAGAAATAAAAATTGCCTCCACCCAATTGGATTAGATATGCTTTGTGAGTGACCACGGTGAGTGGATTATAGTCTTTGCACAAGCTCCGCACTATGCATATGTCTCGTGAGAATCTTACCTATAAACAATGGAATAATTAACATTCTTAAAAGAATGTTTTGTTGTTTTAACTTTTCTATTTTCTAATGTAATAAGCAAATTACTTTTGACTTAATAAATATTTTTAATTTAGTGAAAAAGAAAAAGCAAATGACTTGTCTCTCTGGTCACTACCTTGAAACTTCTGAAAAAATTTCAAAAACAAAAAAAAAACTTAGAAAATATGGTGCTGATACAAAGCATTGATTATAATAAATACTACCCGATGCTTTTCTTGACCCTTGTCTAATAATGTCAAGTTGACTATATAATTTGTAAAGTCTTGGTTATGCTTTTAAATATTGCTTACCTTATATCTGTTAGTACTCACCTTATTCCCTATTTCACTTGCTAATTGTTTCTATGTAATTTTACACTCTAATAATTTTTTTTATTAAAGAAACAAATAAACATTAAGTTACAAGGTCATATCATGACAAGTTTAAATTTTGTTTTTAATTAATCGAACAAGTTTTGCATGTGAGGAGAGATAAGAATAGCAAAACAAACAAAATTATTTACAAAATCAAAGTTGGATCTAACAGTTCTTTTTATAAAAAAAAAATAGTAAAAAATCAAATAGATGAATCAATATAAAATTAGATGAAAATCATACATAATAAATTCGTATAGCAGTACGAGTATGACTTATTTCTGTTTCATTTTTCCCTTTCCTTTCTTCTTATTATTGACACTAAAATTTAAATATTTAAGATAAAATTCAAAAAGTTTCCTTAAAATATTTCAAAATGATACGCTGTCTCCTTTTATGTTTATAGTCGATTGACTTTTAACACCGTTAATCAACAGTTAAAAGAAATTATATCCAATACTATATAAATATTTTAAGATCCAATACACACACATTTCTATCTATTTATCTATTTATCTATCTATCTATATCTATATATATATAGTAAGAGTGAAAGTTAGAAGCTAGTGGGTGCTCAATCACATGACAGGGAATGACCAACTCTTTACCAAGCTTGATAGAAACTTCAGGGCAAGAGTTAGAATTGGAAATGGGATTTATTTGAAGATTATGGGAATAGAAACAGTAGATGTGGAAACATTGAACTGCACCAAATACATCTAAAAGGTCCATTATGTGCCTGAAGTGACACAAAATCTTCTAAGTGTGGGTCAATTGGCTGAAAATCACTATACTCTTTTGTTTAAAGAGCAGTTTTGCACAATTTTTGATCCACCTGGTGATGAGTTAATGACAGTCAAAATGAAAAATCGATGCTACTCTATTGACT